GGGGTGCAGTATCAGTATCCGTGAGTATTTCTTTCATTCTTTTTCTACATTTGGCCACAATTGGACATTTTCCTCCTTTGGAAGAATCTTATTTTATAGAAAAATTGGTATTTAATTTGTTCATACCTGATTCATCACAAAATTTAAGCATTGAAAAATGCGGTAGAATGCTGTTAAACATGTGGTTAATAATTTGGATTGTTTTTTTTTTTCTCTATATTTTTTTGTTTTGATGCTGTCCATTATGGATTTTTTTTAAAATTGTGATGGAAAATGTTGAGAACCTAAACCAAATGAATTAATTTTAAATTCAATAAGATTAATGTTTGAACGAAATTAGAAATTGTTAACTACAGTTGACTTGAAAAATCATACATTTAATATATATATATTTATATATATATATATATGTGATTTTTAAAACCTTCCCTTTTTTGTTCATACAAATTACTATAAGAACATAAATGCAAATTATAATAATTAGGGATTCACTACGCTTGAAAAAAAGAAGTAATGCAACTAGAATCATGTGATCTTTACTACGGTAGTAACTACTGTAGGTTCTAAACAAACACATTAGCAACATTCAAGTGTGGTAACAAGTACGGCTAAGCATAGCTTCTTTGGGGTATTTCCACATTTTAGACGCATGTTGAGCATAACAACACCAGGTAACTTTTCTAAAATGCTTGGAATTAATCTTGTGCACAATGGTTAGCTGATGCCTCAAAATAAAATATGGCCATATTTAGTAACTTTAGTAATTCACAAGTCCAGACTAGCTGCGATTCTAGGCTAGCTCTAAGGTCGAGGAGCATTACTTTACATTACAGTTGTTGCGGCCTGCAGCTACGACCTTGTGGGTGCGGCCTGCCTACCATTTTCGGTTAGAAAACCTTGTTTTTTCGGCCCCGACACCGATCATCTGTAATGAACAGTATAAATTAAAAACTGAGCATAAGTGGTATAAGTAAAGTGCATGGAGGTTTTTCTGGTAATGTGCAGCTCTTAAATGTTAAATAAAAAATTCAGTTTTACCCTCCTACCCATTTTATGCCTATCCCTGCTGTACATTATTCGAGGGTTTAAAATACATTGTACTCTGTAATGAGTTTTTTTTTAATACAAAATAATCTTACATGCTTTCCGGTTACCTCTCAGGCGATGGATGACTGAGTCATGGGTTCTCACCATGCCGATCGACCCATCAACTTATCCGACTGACAGGGCTGCCAACCACCATTATAATTTTGAGTATTTTGTAGGCCTATTAAATTAAATATGAAATACATCATTTTAAAATCAAGTGTTTGTAACTGTCAACACCTTAACATGAATGCCTATCATTGAGAAAACAACTATTAGTAGAACACATCCCCATGGTTACATTCATTGTTAATTAATAGCCTTGCAGTAGATGGGGCCAAAACATGCCCATTCATGCAGAACGAGTGTGTATTTCTGGAGAGTAATGAATCACCCTAAGCTGTACTCTACTGTAGTACTAAGCATGTGCAAGGCAAGAAAAGACATTACACTTTTTTTATAAGAACACTGAGGCTGAAATTGCTTAAAAATTAAAAACAAAATAAGAACAAATTGTCCAATAAGGTTTTTATTTTAAAAAACTAGAAAAACCAAAATATATATCTGTACCTTATGTGCAGTAGGTATGACTATGTAATACCATCTATAATTTTTTACCGGAGCCTTTTTTCTGCGGACATTTTTTCAGTGGCCTTTTTTTTTCGGGGGCCATTTTTTTCAGGACCACTTTTACGTACATTCCAGTGCAGTGTATGCTGTTACAATAATAAATTTGTATGTTTGAAAAGTGTGCAACATAAGAACATAATAAGAACATTTTGAGCCTAAAATCGGCCAAAAAATAAGAATACTGAGTCAGGGCAACATTTTACTGGTTCTTTTTTTAAAAAAAAGAAGTATAGTTCAACTGATTGAAAGCAAGTTTAGTACATAAAATTAAAATATTATTACTGTATATCGCACAACAGAAAGCAAATTTTATTGGTGAATGTAAAATAGGATGGTTAAATGCTTCGAATTTTTATAATTAGGAAGAATTTTTGTAAATTTCAAGGCAGCGGAGGGTGTAATAAAAATAAGGAAAATTTTATTATTATTATTCAAAAATAAAATTTTATTTTTATTTGAAATCAATATTTGCAGTCGGCGGGTTCGCTAAACAAGGTATAAAAAAAGTCGCCTTATTGGTTATGATGATGATCAATCTCAGAATTAACAACAATGTACACAAGAAACCAACACTTCACTAAAATATAGGCGAACAACTTAAACTGAAACCAAACCATCGCACATGTTTGTACCAAACGGCTATTGTACCAGGCGGCTATTTATAGCATTTGACATTCCATCCTTGTTGCACCAATGCGCATACATTGCTGAAAGGAGGCTTACAAAAAATCGACTTTTCAACTGATCTTGTGTCTCACTGAATTCACTTTACTAGGCGACTTGCAGTACTACACCTATATCAAGCAGTGGTTGTTTATTAAGACTTGAGATAATTTAAGTATAATCTGACTTAAGTTTATGACATGTGATTAATAGCGATACTATTTGTGCAGACCATAAATGTCAAATGTATAACCTTTCATTCAGAGGACTGCTGATATTAGATGCATTTTCTTTATTCAGGTAGGTACAACTTCTAGTAAGAAATAAGAACCATCCCCCATGGTCACCATTCATCTTAATTCATGCAGTAGGCTAAAATTTTTTTTTTTTTTTTTTCAACCATTGAATCTTACCTTCTTTAGTCTAGTCCATGACTTAGTTCGCTATTGTTATAAACATGTGTTGAACAAGCATTATGTTAAACAAACATTTATTTTTGATTACTGCATCAAACTTTTTTGCTGACTCGGAAAATTGGCTCTATAAAATATTTTGCATGCATTTTTGACTAACAGGTGACCATGTCTAAAGTGACATTTTAAGTCCAGTCAATTCATGTCAAGATTTTGAAATGTTTAAAATAGTAACAAATACTCTGAGCTAATTTGGTACATCGTTTACCCAAATTGGATTTTGTGTCTTGAAGGCTGTAAATAAACAAGAGTACTGTATATACTGTAGTGTCATTCAATGTCATAAATTGTGAGCGGGGATGACACCACGCTGGTTCGGCGGTGGACGGGCCCCGTCCAGCACTCAACATTTCCGACCAGGACTATTATTTCAACAGTTTACAAATTGTAACAAATTAATTAGTTTACCTAAACACAATAGACAAGCTAACCTGATAGATAAAGACAAGAAGAATACAATAAATGTTTCCGGGGTTACGTTAATTGTAACAAAATACTGCACTGCCCTGCTATTCATCGCTAACTTAACAGCCTAGGCCCAGTTGAGTCATAGCGAACATCGTGGGCCAACATGACACAGTTGCTATACACATTCAAAGGTTAAAGTTGAAATCGTGACCATTCAAGTGTTCTATTATGAGAGCATGGTCCATGGCAGGAAGATTATTAAAAATTTACGAAACCTGATTTATGTTTTATTTCTTTAATTTGTTTTCATTTTGTTAATGTTATTCTATATTATCCATAATTGTTTTAAATTTTGTATTATAAGTTTTTCACTTTTAATTATAATTGATATATAATGTGTAACTAATGAACGAAGGTGGCTCACAACGGGGAAATCCCTGAACTCCAATTACTGTAGAACGTCAATCAGCACATGCCTTTTCTTGTCTGCTAGCCGTAGTACTACTCACAGATACTATATTCAACATCGCACTCATTTTAAAAAAACATAATACAACCATGTATTCGTCCGCGAATACGCAGCTAAGGTACAACACAACAACACCGGCCCAACTGCGGCCACACACACACGCCAAGCATGTGAAGTTGACAGTCGGTTCGACGCTTTGTCGCATGGATTTGTTCATTATTATTTTTTAATCTAAAACAAAGCATGTCAACTATTTTAATTAGGCCTACAGTAAGTCTCATCTTTATCTGTTTTGTTGCATTCTTCAAATTCTGACCTGGGCCTAGCCTAAAAAAATCGCGTCAGCTAGCCTTGGGCCTAGGCCTGCTCGACTTAGGCCTTTTGGTTTTTAAGAGCTTTCACGAATACAGCGGAATACGGAATATTTCAAACCACTGTTCCAAGAAAAGAAATGTTGGTTATCTTGTTTTTTGCCAGATTTGTATAATAATATGTTCTGCATATTTTAAACTTCTATATTTACATTACAGTAGCAATCTGTATGAAATTTTAAAAGGTAGTAACAATAACCATTTACATTAGCCACAGCTTAACAATTTAATACTAGGCCATAGTTCAGCAACTTGGTCAGACAATTTAATAATAGGGCACAGTTCAGCAACTTGGTCAGGTCTTTTTTGGAATGTACAGTACTTCTCATCAGATATTCAATGATAAAAAATACAATAAAAATAAAAATTCGCTTTTACATTTTAGTTTTCTACTACTAGTATCAAGAGAATGTATTAATAAGCACTTTAATTTTAAATTAAAAATAAAAATGAATAATTTTTTTCAACATATCCTATTTAAAATGAGAAATTGTGGTTAAGGCACCGGAGACCTGCGTCAGCCACAGTGTGGCACCACCACTAGCATGTGACAATTAGATTTGTCCTTTATCCAACCTCTCATGTAAAAGATTATATTATTATAAGAGCTGAGTAATCAGACTCTTAGTAAAAAAAAATGAACACTAGCCATTATTGAACTGGGGGTTTTGCAGCACAAGAAGCAACAACATTACCTCTTAGCTAATTCTCAGCTCTTTTAATTATGGTACCTACTGTATTACTGCATTTAATTAAAGGGTATGTAGAAGCTAAAGGACCTAAAAAAGAAAGGAAAATGATAGCCATGTTCAGTCAATATTAATTTTTTGTCAACTATACTATATACATGGTTAATTTGCAAACAACCAGTGTAACATTTCTTCAATCAAATTATTCAGAGATGAAGCAGGGTGAACCAAGTGAATGTTGCACAGGAAGAATAACTGTTTTCCCAAGCAGGAGAAAGGTGCAACTTGGTTAAATCTTTCTAAGAAGCCATTGCTAAACTCTCTACATACGCAAAATAGACTGACCACATACCATAGTTCCTCGGGTATAGTCCCACCTCTGGTATGATCCCACCCCCGACTTTATGCCCAACTCCGCGTACAGGCATTTCCCCTGGCAGAATCCCAGGGTATAATTTAGTGAGTAGGTGAGTTGTTTACTGTCGCTAAAATAAACAAGCTCGCTAACTGCGGCTAAAAATAGGCAACACTGTGGTCCGTCCCCAAAGAGACATGCCCAGCAAGTGCATCGGGTCGTTAATTCACAGCGTAAAGACTTGTGTGTTCCACAGCTGTGGCTAAAAATATCCGTCCCTAAAGAAACCCGCCCAGTGTGCTGATCGGATCGTTAATTCACAGCATGAAGACTCAAATGTTCCACAGAGACTCTTGCTGCTAAAAATAACTTGTTACATCATGCATTAAAAGTGGGCGGTGCTCTTCACATGTGATGGGTGAGTGGTTGGTTTGGTTGTTGCTGGGCAAAAAATAACCTACAAGGTCAAGTAAGTTTAGGCAAAGGCAGGCCTAGCTCGATGTGGCCTCTCTAGCTAAGCGTATGGCCTACTAATTAGGGTGTTCCTTTCCCTTGGATGTTCTAGTAAATTCTTATTTCTTTACCGGAATATAGTTTTGGATAGGCCATTGAATCGTAGGGTAGTTGTTCTAATGCTTCTGCCACCTCACAAAACGATTGTTATTTTTGTTCTGTTCATGCATACAGGAATCCCCGGGTATAATCCCACCCCTGAAAATCAGACCAATTTCGCGTTCGGGAACTACAATATTTGTTAAATTCTTTTATACCACATACATAGTCTGGGCATCTGATTAGTTAAGAAGTGGGCAATAGAAAGTACCGTTACCCTAAATTATAGTACTTTTTTGTCCGTAATGTAATGAACGGTAACCAACGTTACAACAAAGGGCGCCACCTGGTTTTGTGACGACACAACTTTTGTACTCTATCGCAGAGTTGATGAATGTAGATAGTTGGGCAGAGTTACTACCACAGTAAGCATTTGACATGTTTTAATTTATTTTTTATTTCAGTCAACAACCTGGACATCATGGCTCAATCCACCACCAGCCTCATGTGACAGCACCACATCCCCATCAGCAACCAGCTGTCCATGCATCACCTGCCCAGGTAAGCATTCCCTGCCCAGATAAGCATCATCGTATTCACCGCCTTAACATTTACCATCAGCTCACACTTCTGATAAAGCTGGCACCAACTACTGGCTTTTGCAGTTCAGTATAGTAATGTCAAAATTCTCCTGAGGGCACTACCTCTTTATAATTGTTTAAAATAATATTTATTTGGCAAAGTAAGAGTACAATCTTGCCAGGAGCAAGGAATAGGCACGAGCCCAAACAGTAAACTGCCCTTGCTCCATCATCAAAATATACAGTAAAGGCTAAAGAGAAACATAAAAAAAGTAAAACTGATTTAAAATAAACTTAATTAACAAAATTAAAAACTTAACCAAATTTAAAAAATGTTATTTGAAATTTACTCAGAATTTTAGTACTGTAAAAAAGAAAGGTACTAAATTTGTAAAAACAAGGAATATTCAAAATAAAAACAGAAAAACACAAATCTTGCGATCAAGTATTTAGTTAGTTGAGCTTTGAGATCAGAAATGGTTGAGGATTGCTGAATTTGTACTGGAAGTTGTTCCCAAAATCTTGGAAAAATTACAAAAGATGAATTTAAAAATGTATTGGTTTTGGCCTTCCAATGTATTAAACGCCCATCACACCTATCACTTGATCTAAGAAAATAAAAGAAGAGGGACAGTAGCCACGCATAATCTTAAAACCAAGGGTAAGTCTATGAACTTCAAACATATCTTCAATACTTAAAATATTTAATGTCTTTAATCATGAATATGAAGTGTCTCAAGTTTCTTCTTGTCTATGAATAATAATTCTAGTGGCTTTCCTCTGTACCCTCTCCTACTAATATTTACATTTTCATTAGGCACCCACATACCACAACAATATGTTATTACCGGTAGAATAAGTGCTTTATACAGATTTAGCATTGCTAACCAAGACATTGCTTTAATTGCATCTTGACACAAAACCAAGAAGTTTGCTTGGCTTATTACATACATTATTTAAATGGGAATGACATGTTAACTTATTATTATTAATATACTGTACACACACCAAGAAGTTTGAATTCATTGACTCTTTCTATCTTTATAAGACTTAATGTTATAATCCCAGGAATGAATTTTTTTACACCTAGTTAACACTCATGGTTGCACATTTAGAAGAATTTAATGGCAGTTCATTTTTAACTGACCATTAAAAAATCTTATTCAAATCACTTTAAAGTTTTATGCAGTCACATATCAGTGACATACATATTCATCGTGGTAATCGTCAAACATGTGAAATTACGGCAAACAATGTGGCTGGGTACAGTCGGATCAACGCTTTGTCGCCGGAATTTGTTCATTGTTATTTTTTAATCTAAAACAAAGCATGTCAACTATTGAATTTAATTAGACCTACAGTCTCATCTTCATCTGTTTTGTTGCATTCCTTAAATTCTGGCCTATGCCTACTTGGGCCTAGCCTAAAAAAATCGCGTCAGCTAGCCTTGAGCCTAGGCCTGCTCGGCTTAGGCCTTTTGGTTTTTAAGAGCTTTCATGAATACGGCGAAAACAGGGGGGGATGCCACCCCCTCCCCCGGGAAAACGGTGAATGATCGCTGACCGGCACTCCAAAAAGCTGGTGACATCCCTGAGATTAGGAGTTTCGGGGTGTTTGAAGAAATAATTAGGCTAAAAATATGTCTATTTTTGCCATTCCTGATTATTTCTTTAATCCTCAATTTCTTATTTATTTGTACAGCATACCACAAAATTGTTTTCCCTCAGTATCCTGGATTTAAAATTCAGTACAGTATGATATACAGTATAGGTATTGTGCCTTACAACAAAACAACAGACAGGTAGAATTTATGCTGTTATCAGGTACTTGATTATGATAGCCATAAATTTGTTATCGCAAGGGAATTTTCTGTACTGCCTATGCATAATACAGTGATATGGATACACATGACATTTTTTTAAAGAGGCTGTGCTATGATCTATAGTATTGAGTTGGATTGTTGTTAGCAAATTGCGTAGGATTAATTATAGTTTTCCCGGTTAAATATTGACTTTTGTTCTATCAAGAAACAAGTGTATTTATAGTGTTTATGTTATGTCAAACTCAGTGATATGCAATAAGTTACAGCTGGACAAAAATCATTTCACATAAATAAACATTAAAATAAATTCAACAATGTAATTTAAAATATGCAGGTGTTTAATGGTGGGTTAGTTAAAACTCAAATCTGCACTTTATAATTTTTTACCATCAGTAATAATACTAAAAGGCCTTGATAATTTGCATAACTGAATTTAAATGAAATATTGCTTATGTTTGTATATAAGGATAAAACAATGTGAAAATGTGTGCTAACCAGAATTTGATTGCACAATTTAAGATTGGATTAAACATAACATACTATTAATGTGTAATAAACAGCTTAAAAGTAATATGGCCTATGAAAAATTAATAAATATAGTGTTTTGTTTCACAAAACAACACAAAATAATTATCATAAAATTTGCATAAAAGCCTCAAAGATCAAATTTAAACATTTTTAATCATTTTGAAACTTATAAAGATACATGATATTATAAAATGTAATAAATTAATTATTTCAAAGTTTTTTATATGATATTGAAGAACATAAACAACTGAAGATTTTAGTTAATTTAGTGATTTTATTACAAAATATAAAATGCTAGATTTATATCATGAAAAATTAATAAATATAGTGTTGTCCAAGCATCACAAAACAACAGAAAATAATTATCATAAAATATGCATATAAGCCAACTCCTCAACTGTGTAAAGCCAATTCCTCAAAGATCCAATTTAAACATGTTTAATCATTTTAAAACTTATCAATTTAAAAAAAAAAAAGGTACTTCAAGGTTTATAGGAATCAAACTGCAGGACTAAAAATACTGATATTTAAGTTTACTTTATATCACTTTAGGCAAATATAGGGAATGTCCAGGGACAGCAACAATTTCAGCGACTAAAAGTGGAAGATGCTCTCTCCTATTTGGACCAAGTGAAGCTACAGTTCGGCAACCAACCACAGGTCTATAATGACTTCTTAGATATTATGAAGGAGTTCAAGTCACAAAGGTAAAAGAAAACATAACAATTGTCTATTTTGTTTGTTTGGCAGTTTGAATTAGGAAAAGGTATCCAAAATGTTTGTACTTTAGTAATTTATATTATTATTATATGTATGTATTTATGTAATTTTATAATTTTGCTGATGGAGTGTCTTTAAATTAACAAATAAAAGTCAACATATATAATACTGAGCAGCATATTACAAGATTTTCAAGCTTTTTTCTTGTATTTCATATTAACAAGCATACAATATTCCAGTATTCATTATTTTTTGGCAGGTGCCAAATCCTTTTACAAGAAAAACACAGACAAGATGCGACAATACATTGATGTTGTTACATAGTTGATTAAGCCTTTTCAGGGTCATTATTGACATTGTTTTATATTGTTTATTTTTAGCCATTCCGACCCTTCTAACGTTAATAGATTTAGTGGTAGTGGTAATGACAATAAGTACATAAACAAATTTTATTACTCGCCTACTGCACTATTTAGAATATTTGGGCTCCATTCCCCAGAACCCTGTTCATCTCTCTGGCTTCGTATCATAACAAGACAAGATGCTCTACATGAATCTAGATCTCATTAAGGAGTGGAGCTGTTTTTTCTAGGGAGAAAAAAATTTGTAATACAGTATTAGCTTGAATTGAACTCAGGTCCCTGAATTTAAAGGCAAACCTCTTAACATCTCCATTCAAATGGCTTTTTTTCTGTTTTACTGAACAGCATTGACACTCCAGGGGTAATCAACAGGGTTTCAAACCTCTTCAGGGGTCACCCAGACCTCATTGTTGGGTTTAACACCTTCCTGCCTCCTGGTTACAAGATAGAAGTTTTGGTCAATGATCCAACACAGATCAGTGTCACTCATCCTGGATTACATGGACAGCCGGCCACCACTCAATCCATCTCAACTGGGCTACCGCCGTCCTTGCCAACAGGGCCACAAGCCCCACAGCCACCATCTGCCCAAGTTCCAACACAGCAACAAGTGGACAAGGTATGTATGACTACGAGTTACTAATTTTGTTGTTGATGATTCTAGTAAAATCAAATTTCATTGTGATTCATTTAGGTGAGATGATGACTCAAGTTGCCTGTGCTCACCGAATACATTATCCATTTCTTGCATAATGTAACTGTCTCCCCCCCCCCCCTTCCTAGGCATTCACTGGAGACCTTGCAGAGTATTCCTGGTCATTCAGGTAGCTTAGCATAAGGCTAATTTCTTCACATCCTAGCATGGTAAAGAAAATATTAATGTTCATGACCCTTGCTTAAGAACATAAAAAGTGTGAGTAGCCCTTAGCTCAAACTTAAACCCTCTTGATAAAGAAACTGAAGCCTTTCAACTGCACTGTACACTTTTTAACGTTGATATCGCACAATATTATCAGTACTGTGATATTTTTGTTCTACCCAGCCTGTTGCGCCCCAGCCGATTCCATCAGCATTAACGCCCTCAGCAGGAGGGAGGCCTAGAGTTTTCCCTCAAGGCACACCCACCACAGTTTCGGGTTCACAGACCCCTTCAGGCCAACCAGTACCACCATCGTCCACAGTACAGCCACCAACGTCGCAACAGCAGCCCCAGTCACATCAGCCACCCCAGCAGCAACCTCCACAACAGGGTCAAACCAACCAAGCTAACCAGCCAGTGGAATTCAACCATGCTATTAATTATGTCAATAAGATCAAGGTAATTTTCATTGTTTGAGTAATGTTTATATAAGGTGAAAGAGAGTGTGAGGTGAAGTTGGTTTATTTAGAAGTCTGTATAAAATCACTGAAATATAGCTGTTTCTCATACATAGGCCCACAGCTTAAAACCTGACTACTTCGATATTTAAAGGTGCTTATTTTATATGTATTTTTATCTCTGGCCTTTTATTCTTGAAGCCATTGAAACCTAACTGGATTGCTCAAAAGTAAAATCAAGTTTACTCTCAGGGAGCTTTTCGTATTTCATCAGACTTTATAAATTGAAATTTAATACAAATATGCATAATTTAAGATTAGAAGGTTTGTTTTTTATGTAATGTAGTATAGCAGTAAGATTTAAGCATAAAAAATTCATCATAGATACAGTTTAAAATACTTCTATTATTATATATTACTACTTAATGCCTCACTTGACAGAATCGATTTCAAGGGCAACCGGAGATCTACAAAGCATTCTTGGAGATCCTTCACACGTATCAGAAAGAGCAGCGTGCCGTCAAAGAGTCGCAGGGTGTCTACCAGCCAACTCTTACAGAGTCGCAGGTTTTTGAGCAAGTCGCTAAGTTATTCCAGAACCAGGAAGACCTATTGCAGGAATTTGGTCAGTTTCTGCCAGATGCCAATGGTAGTGGAGGAACAGTGAGTTGAAAACCTTTTCTTTTATCTAACAGCAGTAACAAATTTACACATCACAACTTTTATTGCCATTTTTTTCTGTTTTCTGCATTATTGAAATCAAGTAAGAAGATATTTGTTTGTATTAGCATACACAACTACATAGTCTAAAACCTCTCAGAACAGCATAAAAATTGTTTAGGTTTACTGAGAACTAGAAAGAACTACTTATTTTTGATATCTAAAACTACAAACTAGCTAATCAATTTTAACGATTGAATAAATTACCAATTTTCACTAAAAAAGATAATTCTTTATACACTTGTGAAAATGTTTAAAATTGTCAACAGGCCCTTTAACAAATTGTATTTGTCCTTTGTAGGATTTTAGTTCGTTCTCAAAAGATGTGATACATGCACGTACGCCGATGGTAAATGACCACACATCGATAGTGAAGAAACCCATCAGCCAGCCCTCAAAGAAGAGCCATTTGAAACGACCAACCATTACACCTTCACCTTCATCTACCAAGAAAATGAAGATCAGTTCTGTTAAGGATATTTCATTGGCTGAAGCGGGCAAACATGGTAGTCTGAGCGAGTTTGCGTTCTTCGATAAGGTAATTATATTTCATTGGTTTATTTATTGTTGAAAATGTTAATTAGTGGCCAGAGGTTTTTGACTCATGCATCAGGCCATTATTCCCATAGGTCGTTGGTCGTATTTCCAATTTACTGATTTATTGTGGGACTTTCAAACACAGTTTGTCAAGCTCTGAATTATTCAATAATTTCTAAAACCTGATATTATTATGTAGAACAGGTTTTATCATGCCATAACAAATATAGAATAGTGATACATTTTTTTACCTTCAGTGTATCGAACTAAATTATATGTCCTTTATAATCCTAGTAACTGATCGTTTGTTTTTTAATAATATATTACATAATTATTGATAGGTTATTATAATTGTTGATTGGTGTAATAAAAGCCACACATAAAGCTTATTCATAACTTTTCCCCAAAAATATGTTGATATTGACACATTTTCCCCTTCCCCCTAAACTATTCTTCTAATTATATAATAGATTGATTTTTAGTTACATGATCAGTCATAGAATATTACCGTTGAGAAATTGGGTTGTACAGTGGTATTGTCAATTTTTCAAAATGTCAGCTTTTTGTTTGAAATGGAAGTCAAATAAACCTTGGTAATAAACATTGAAATGTGTGTTTAATTACACTATTCTTATTAGACCTTATTTGGAATGTCCGCTTTTGTCCTGTGATAAATCTTTGATTTTGGAGCATTAAAAATAATGTTCTTTTATTAAATTTTGTATTGTAGGTTCGTAAAGCATTACGGAATCAAGATGTTTATGAGAACTTTCTACGTTGTCTGTTGCTGTTCAACCAGGAGGTTGTTTCCAGACCGGAGTTGGTACAACTTGCTACCCCATTTCTTGGGTAAGATGGAATCTATTATCTATTTCAACCTATAATATATGTATTATACAATTCAAAATTAATGGTAATATATTTTAAGTTATTTTTTTTTGTTAATTTAATTTGTTCATATGATGTAAGCTATTTGCAGTGTTTATAGAGAACAACATTTGTAGCATAGCTCAAGGATGCAGCTGATAGTTTACGTGCGATTTAATAAAATAATAATTTATATCTAACGGCAGCGTGTAGCTCATTATTTACAGAATGGAATGATGCTTTATTAACCAAGTCCCTTAATGAGGCTTAGGGATGGGATTTGTTTGTAGTCTTGAGGAAATATTACTCCTGTTGTGACATGATTCGAACATAGGACACTGGGTTAAAATGGCAAGCATCTTGACCACAAAGATATTTTCCTATATAAAAAAGCAACTGCACCTTCTAAACTTCATATAAGGATATTTAGTTTATGGAATATTACATTGTAAATTCCATCCTGGAAATGGTAAAGCACTCTGTTAGAAATGAGGATGTTCAATGAACATTGCATTGGTATTAGCACATATGAGGCTTACCATTCCAAATCTAGCGTACTGTCGAGTAAGTAGCATGAGAATGTTCCTGTGTTGTATGCTTTAGTACAGCGAAGCTGCAGTACTTTTACTTATAATTTTGGGAATAAGTCAATTCCGCTGAATGAAATATCATTTTAAAGCTTTTATATAATGAATGTGCATATAATAAAAAAATCAACTTTCTTGTTTTGGTCACTAACAGGGGCGGATCCAAAGATGTCCGAAAGTGTGGCCGAACAAGATAACACTACCTCGGGGGTCCGGAACATGCCCCCCACCCCGTGAAATTTTTGTTCTTCAGACGTCCAAAAATAAAATCTGACGCGTTTTAGGGGATCAATTTTTTCTTTTTCTTTCTTTCTTTTTCTTTTTCGTGTTTCTTTCCAAAAGGAGGGCCGGGGCAACTCGGGGGGGGGGCCCCCCCAAAAAAAATTTTACTATGACAATCCCCATATTACTGCTTCTCCAGAAAAGTAATATACGCAAAAATATAAAATAATAATGTAAAAAATCTATTTAAAAACATTAATGTTATGGCATTTTATATTTACAGTAAATTTCCTGAACTATTCAAATGGTTCAAAGAATTTCTTGGGTATAAGGAATCTGATAAGGTTGATCATATGGCACCTAAGGAGCGATCACAAGGCGAATTGGCCACCGAGATCAGTAAGTAGTATAAAAAAAGAAATATCGTTGTCATCCCCCATTGTAAGAATATTCAAGACCATCACCATTTTCACTGGTTGTCATTTTCATTCTTGCTATCATTACTTTGGTCATCTTGACTCTAATTGTCATCTTCAAATTATGTCATTTTCACATTTTGTCATCTTCAATTTATGTTATCTTCAAATTATGTCATTTTCACATTTTTATCATCTGTATGTTTTGTCAACTTCACATTTTGAAATCTTCACATTTTGTCATCTTCACATTTTGTCTGCTTCACATTTTGTCATCTTCACATTTTTGTCATCCTCACAATTCATCTGCTTCACTCTTTGTCATCTTCACATTTTTTAGCTACATATTTTTAATGTGTTAATACACTTTGTCATAAACACTCCTTCTGTTATTTGTTAATAGATTTTACACATTGCAAACGATGCGGGCACAGTTATCGTGCTTTGCCGAAGAGCTACCAACAGCCGCGTTGTACAGGCCGTACACAAATCTGCAATGAGGTGCTGAACGACACTTGGGTCTCATTTCCCTCCTGGTCTGAAGACTCAACGTTTGTCAATTCACGGAAGACGCAGTATGAAGAACATATTTATCGGTGTGAAGATGAGAGATATGAGGTAAGTAGCCTAACCGAAGTGAAGGTTAAAGCAAAGATAGACCTCAGGCGGGGAAAAAACATTTTAGAATCTTGTTGCATTAAAAAAAAACACAATTTTTTTTGTGTATGTATACTAAAGAATAATTCTTCAGAACTTTTCAATTTAGACCTGTAATTTTATTGGTTAATTATCCTAAGAATGTGTGCATAACTATAGTCTTGGCTTCAACCTTAATACTCCCATCATTCAGCTTAACAATTGATTGTTCTAGCTGTCATCATATGCCTAGTCTGTCTAAACTTCATATCTTCAGTCTTATTATTTATAAAAAGACATAATTTTTTTTTTTAACAAACTTGAGGATTATTGGTTAATGGTTGTGCACTTGTATATTGCATAACATTCGTCTATGCACTTTCTAGGACAAAAGATCGAAACTAGAAAAAAATTTGAAAATGGAAAAGAAAGCGGTAGAATAAATTATGCATAAATAAAGGAAAGGTAAAAAGAAGCTCAAAACAGCAGAATTGAAGAAAATAGAGATTGTCAAATAAGAACAATTTTAGCAAAGATACTAGAAACACGAGATAGAATTCTCCACAGAAAGAAAGTGTTCACCGAAATGCATGGTGGGAATACAAACAATGGGGCACCGCGTACTGCTGGATCTAAAAAAACTTCTGCCAAATTTTACATCACAGTGAATACCCAGGTGAATACATAACCTCTTTTGGCGGCCCATTTGACGGAGGTAGACATTGTTGCCACCCATAAGATACAAACAAGTAGGCATAAAATAACAGATACGAAAGTGTAGAAAGTGCAAGTGCTCTATCTTTTATTTCTAGTGTCTTTGTTTTAAGATGCCACCTTTAAGATTATCAAATTAAGAGACTGATCAGACCGTGGTAGTGAATTAAATGCAATGTTTTTGTTTGACTAGCTTGATATTGTCATTGAAATCAACATGACTACGATACGAGTGCTGGAGAATGTGAACAAAAAATTGCAGAGGATGTCATCAGAAGAACAGTCCAAATATAGATTGGACAACGCTTTGGGTGGCACATCAGAAACGATACACAGAAAAGCAATTCAAAGGTAAGGAAAGCACACTCCCCTTGAAAGTAAACCTGGGTTGATTTTTGGGTTTGGGCTTGTACCTGAGGAACCCTCTGTTCATCAAAAATATTTATTGGTATTGGTATGGCCGTTTAAAGTGCTCCTCTTGTGGTTATAAATCGCAATTCTTTACCCTGATCATTGAGTCTACATGCTTTAAGTGTTGCTGCTGGTAATCAGCGCAGGAGCAGGCAACCCCACCAGGTACCCATTTAGAATCCTGGGTGGAGAGAAGCAATGCAGATAAATGCCTTGCCCAAGGACACAAGCAATATACACAGCAAGGGGTTGAAGCCCTGTTTTCGCTGCGCCAAACTGCTTCTCTTGGCAATCAAAAGGCGAACCTTCGATACTCCATTCCCAATTCAAAGCACCTAAGCATTTCATTCAAATCTAGAGTATTTTTTGGCTATTAAGCAATTAATGTTATATTTCATTTGGTTATTTTTCAGAAGTGATATTTAATTTTTCTGAAAACCTACTTTGATTAATCACAATCTGAAAATTGGGAACATTCCTAAATTCGGTTCTGTTAACCATATTGTAGTGTTTCTAAACTCCTCCCATAATTCTGTCTCTTTGCATTTCATAGGCTAAATTGGCTGATTTTTTACATGTTTTACTACTGTGAATCAGTTTTTCTACTATCTGTCATCTGTCTACCTGAAGTCCATGAGGAGTAAAATAGATTAAAATAGGCTACAAATTGGTAATTAAATCAGATCTTCCTGAAGTGAGTTTTCCCACTACAAAATGGAACAAGCATTCAGGCTTTATTTAATTTAAACCAGTCCTTAGACAACAACATGAAATTTTTTATTTATTTATTTTTGTCTGTTCTAATTCCCTTAGAATTTATGGTGATAAAGCACATGATATTATCGAGGGCCTCAAGAAAAACCCCGCTGTCGCCGTACCACTTGTTCTCCGAAGACTAAAGTCCAAAGATGAAGAATGGAAAGATGCGCAGCGGAGTTTCAATAAGATCTGGCGTGAACAGAATGAGAAATATTACCTCAAATCCTTGGATCACCAAGGAATTAATTTTAAGCAGAATGATACCAGAGGACTTCGCTCAAAGAGCCTGCTCAACGAAATTGAAAGTATATTTGATGAGGTATGTGACTGAACTTTATACATAGAAGGGTTACTTAAAAACATCTAAAGAAACCCATATTCTATTTAGTGATCTATGCTTTAGTAATAACCAACCTTTAATTTTTACTATCATCATTGTTTGGTTATGTGTATTTGTGATTTTAATATCATCACCATCATTATCATCTTTATCATCAACATTGTAGCCTAGAGTGGATTTTAGCCTTACATTCAGCAATTTCTGTTTGTGATAAGGGTAGTAATAACAGTAGTAGCAAGTAGCAATAACAGTATTAGTAGTAATAGTCAACTATCATCAAAATAATCATTATCTTTATCATTGTCATTGTCCATTGTTACCATTATTGTTATTATCACCATCATGTCTGCATTAAGTCTTCAGGTGACTATAATATTACTGCCATTTGTGTAGGAATCATTTGGGAGTGATAGTTCATATTTATTTTGCAGCCAACATTTCTGTTGAACTGTTGGCATTTTATAATGGTTATTACCAAACTGCTTGCTGGATTGTACACTAGTTTTATGCTTTCTCTTGTAATATATTCTGCATTTACAATGCTGGCATTTAAATTTGAATTGAATCCCATTAATTTATTCAATGGAACTAAAAAGAACCAGAAAATATATTATTTTAAATTTAAATGCTGTTCCATTAATTTATGTCAATCATAGATGCTAAATGATCACAAGGAAACAAAATATTTATTTATTATTTTTTTATTATTGTGAGTGCTATTAAAAGTCACTGTTTTGCCATGCTTTCCTCAACAAAATTATTATTATGTCACCTTTACACAGGAGTGGGCATAAAAATGGGTCGAGGGCCATATTACTGATTTTTAAAATTAAAACTTATGGCTGCATTTAAAAATGCAGATGCTCTATGGTGAAAATTTGATTTCTAGCCTTCATGCTTTATGCACAGTTTTAAAATTTTACAGATAATCGGTGCCTGGCCAAAAAACAATGGGTTTTTCTTCTAGCTGAAGATGGTAGGTGGGCCGCACATACAGGGTCTTTATTTAATCTAGTTTTGGGGGTTGCAACAAAAGTTTGAATTGTTTGTGTATTATTTTCAGCGGCAAGAAGTGATGTTAGATGGCTGCAAGGATAATGGCCACCCACATTTAGAGCTGAAATCATATGATAACCATATCCTGGAAGATGTGGCATCTCTAATAATTCATCATGTTAAACGGCAAACCAGTAAGTTGCTAGTGTTGATAATATATTAAAACAGTAAATTTGTATGTTTTCATAATGTTGCGTAGTATATTTTACCATACATTTATTTATTACTTGCTGATTTTGAAAAACATCATTTGTTTTAAAAGCAACGTAGAAAAAACTTAGCCGGTAGGTGCCGCATGAATTTTTGTCTGGTGATCTCACTGTGTGAATAATAAATACTTCATTTTTAGGTTTGTAAATTATTTATCTTTAGTAATTAGAATTCAGTTATTACAGAACACTTTATTGTATAATTTCCACTACAGGTATTCAAAAGGAGGATAAACAGAAGATCAAACAACTTTTACATCACTTCCTACCAGATTTTATGTTCCGAGAACGAGGGGAATTATCAGATGACGAGGATGAAGATGATGATGAGGAGGATGACGATGAAGGTTAGTAGGCATTCGTCTCACACATTGGTCAAAATATGAATGAATTAAAAGTTGTAATTAATTACTAGGATTTTTTGAAAATTGTTAATTCTTTAGTGTGATGTATCAGTAATTAACAAAAATGCAGGTAGCTCAGTCAGCCAAACTGGTGGTAGCAACTGTGTGTGCGCTGAACAGTGTTTTGTCCCCCGGTTTAATTCCCATCACTGCTTTCTTTGTGTTTCAGCGGGAGGACTGAAATGCAAGTTTCAAAAACGCACCGTTTTGCCTATGAGACGTTTAAGCCGTTTGTGCTGTCTGCATTTTTAGGCCCCTCTTTGGAAATGAGTAAGGGATTGTCACCCCCAATTTACCACTAGGACCCCACTGGAAATAGGTCTCAGGACTTTCATGCCTTATCTTTACTGTATATCACACCGAGAAATCCTATCCCATGTTATTACAATTTTTATAATGTATAAGTTTTATTATTGCAATGAAGTTTCTACCACCTTTCACCAATCTCTTTTTTTGTAGAAATGGAAACAGATGAGGCATCTGAAAAAGTGTCAAGGAAAGAAAAAGCTGCTGAAATAAGGAAGAGCCGGAAAAGTCTACTTTCAAACGGGCCAGTCAACGGAGAGCAATGGCAATCAGTAAGATAAAACCACCTCATCCACCTTCCCCCCGATTTTAAAATACAATTTTATATTTGAATCTTGAATATTTTGTCTATTTTTATGCCCACTCCCTATCTAAATACACATGGTAAGTGCACTTCAGAGACAGAACAAGTCCATTGAATGAAAACTGGGTGGTCTGTAAATTGGTGTCAGCCACAGTAGCTTTGAACCGTATATCTTAAGTTGCTATTTTCTCTTTGATTCTCTTACAGGATGACGTCTATCACTTATTTTTTGTTAACAATAACTGGTATTTATTCTTCCGGCTACATAACATATTATGTGAACGGTTGAACAAAATGTACAAACGAGCTCTTATCATTTCCGAAACAGAGGGCGGCATACATAGGAAAGCCGCCAAGGAATCAACAGCTTTTGCGCTCGGACTTAAGCAACCACGTAAGTCAGTCATTTTCCAAAATTTAAATATTTACGATTATAAACTTTAAATAATAATAATTCATTAATCAACCTACTGTCTCAGAAGCATGCCATTCAAGCTTTCAATTCTCAAAATTTTCTTTAATTAGATTTGAAGATTGATGATTTGATCTGGAAAAATCTAGGGTTATCTATTATGTTTTTTATGTAATTTGAACCATAATAGCTTCTTCTGGCTAGTCACTAAGTTATGGTTAATACACTGATTATGGTTAATACACTGATTTTTCAAAGACACTAAAAGGAGGTTTGACAAAAATATTGGATAACACACAAAAAAGGAGTTCGATGAAACAGTTAACAAGATACAGTTTTTTGATCCATATTTTTCCCACATTTTTTCCCATGGATTTTAAAAATTCAAAAATCTTTATCTCATGAAATGTTTCTGAGTTTTCCATCAAACATGTGTATAATAATAATCAATATTTCAGAAATTCTATTTTTTTAAAGAAAGTAATGGAATCCCCCATCATACAAGGCCTGTGTATTGTTCGGTATTTAGACACGGGGGGAAATAATGGAATCACCTATCATACTCGCCTGTGTATTGTTCGGTATTTAGACACAGGGGGGGAAATAATGGAATCACCTATCATACTCTGCCTGTGTATTGTTCGGTATTTAGACACGGGGGAAATAATGGAATCACCTATTATACTCTGCTTGTGTATTGTTCGGTATTTAAACACAGGGCGGAAAATAATGGAATCACCTATCATACTCTACCTGTGTATTGTTCGGTATTCAGGCACAGAGCTGAGGTATGCACTCTGTGGAGTGACCACTCTAGTTGCTATTGCTTTCATCATCATTTTCTCCAATGCTTCAGTAGAAATTGAGCCAGAGGAATATTATAACGCCCTTCTTGAAATGGTACGCAATCTACTGGACGGCAACATGGAGAGTACACAGTTTGAGGACCAGCTCAGAGAAATGTTTGGCATCCACGCATACATCACCTTTACCTTAGATAAGGTTGTACAGAACCTTGTTCGCCAGGTGGGTTGCATCTGCATTTCCTTTGTATTCAGTGCTCGCAATGTTTTCCTATGTTTATAGTGTTTAATATGTACGTAGAAGTTCTCTATTTTTCCCCTGTTCACATCTGCTTATTACATAATAGGAGTCAGTGTGAATGCGCTGTAAACTTAAGCTCTGTCCATACTGTCAGTTTTATGTGACAGGGCTTCAGTGTCGTGATGGGACTTAAGGGAATTTTAACAGGATTTGAACCTTTACTTGGAAAGCACGTATCCTAATCAATGTAGCCTCATAATGAGATTGAATGTAGTCCAAAGTATGCTTTATTGGTGTTCTCAATTTCCATCAGCTTCAACATGTTGTTGACGAGAACTGCCTACCAATCACAGAGCTGTATATTGAAGAGTTGAGGACAGGAGGCGGTGGTGGTACTTGTGCGACAGCTGCACTTAGAGCAGGATTAGAGACCTCCTATCAAAAGAAAGCAGAACAGCTGATGGCTGATGAAAACTGTTTCAAGCTGATTTACGTAAGTCTATTAATGCTAGAAATTTACTTTTACTTAGAAAAATTCTTTAACATGATTGCATTTTATTTACTTGTTTTTGTTGCTCTGAGAATATAAAATAATCCCACAAATTATTCTATCGGGCATGTTTTAAGTCTCAACTTGCATAGCTATCATTTCAATGTGTTTCATTATTTCATTATTTCGCTTCGCTATTTACTTTATGTTGAATAAACTAAATTATCTTCCTTTCAACAGAGTAAAGCTGAACATAAAGTTACTATAGAACTGCTTGACACAGAAGAGGACCACAGCGAAGATCCAGTAGAGGTGGAGAAATGGTCCGACTACGTGGAAAAATATGTAAACACAGAAACCACGTCCACTGAACTGAGAGAACAACTTGCCAAAAAGCCTGTCTTTCTACCACGGTAAGCGAAGTACATCTTGTTTAACTTCAGTCCACACCACCAAAAAAAAAAATAAATAAAAAAAATACTGAGTGAAAAAAAAATTGTTAAATTTGGTGATTGCACTCCTGCGAGCAAGCAAGCATCTCATTGAAAATAAACATCTTCAATAATTTTAGAATATTTTTGTGCTTTTTCCAAGTCTGATAGATGTCACCATTAACAGCAAAATACAAGTGGGGCTGCCATGCCAAAACCAGCATCAGTAATGACCAAAACAAGAAAATTTACTTTTTAAATGTTCACATTCTCCACATTATTAAGCTTTAAATTTATAGGTTATATACTGGAATTATATTATTCTATAAACTATTGCCAAAGCTATAAATAAATGCAATACAGCTTCTCTGTACTAATGTATAAAGTTGTGCCATATTCTTATGCAAATTAAGCAGATTAACTGTACGTTGGTTTTGGGTTGGGAAGCCTTAATTATTTGTGCTATAAAAACTTTTAGTTCTTCCATCTTCCTGTGTTTGTAAAAAAACTCAAATACATTGCATTAAAGATGATTATAAAAGTCTGATTGCTAACATATGGAAATCTGAATCCATAGAAATATTCGGCAGACACGGCAAACGGATGAGAACCTCTTAAAATCAGAAGACATACGATTACAGCCGGAGAAGCTACCGGCTACGAGTACCACTGGGCCCGGAGGTGATGGCGCCCTTAAAGGACTTGACGTGGTGAACAACATGGAATGCCAGTTTAACATTAACTCATACAAGATTGTGTATGTAGTCAATTCTGAAGATTATATGTACAGGAGAACAGCACTGAAGAAGGCCAAAGAGGTAAAGTCATTATGATGAGTATTTTATGACTAACAGGCTATGTGAACAGTAAACACAATTTCCAATGTTAAACCTCTCACACTAATGCATGAGCATCCACTTTTTACGTCTCGCGTCTATGTTGTATTATCTTGCGCATCATAAGAATGTTTATAAAAGCTAAAATGCATAAGCGGATTATACCCTAAAATTCATAAAAGTGAATTCGTTTAATTAATTATATGTGAATACAGGCCATATAAATTTCTTTTAAAGAAGCTATACCGACCGACGACAAATCCACAGCAGTTCCACTACAATTTTTTTTTAAATAATTAAAAAAAAAAATAACAGAGAGCACTATATACTATGTCATAAACCTTTGAACGAAACAGTTTATTTTTGTCTTGTATGCTTACGGACCAATGCTCTTACTGCAGCCAAACGGTCAGGTGGTATCCACATTCTGCATTCACTGGTCTTTACAATCTTTTTGTCAATTGAATTTTTAATGGCCCTTTCCGCTTAAGCCACGCCCCTTGGATATTGTTGCTAAGGTCCCACAAATCATGTATTTGTAGGACATGCGCTTATTCCTGGCCCTGGTCCGTTGTCCATAAATGATGACAGGAAAAACATATAACGTTCCTCTCTTTTTCCTAATTTAGTCCCACCAAGAAGTCAGCATTAAATTGCACACAAAATTCCGCAAGTGGTTCAACGAATGGGTAAGGAAAAACGTTAGTCGGGAACAAGAGAAGCAAGTGGAACGCTGGTTTATGGGTGATATTGATGACCTGATACCTTGCCAAACAAGGAGTCGTAAGGTGGAAACGGAAGAGCACAAGTACCGAAGGTTTTCAGTCATTTACCCCAAAGAGGACTCACTGAGTTCAAAATCATGAGGGTGAGCAAGTGCACCTGCTCTCACTCCCACTTTCTACAAATCAAGTTGTATTTATACTTTGTAAAGTATAAGGTAATTTTTGTCCCAAATTTTGAGATGACTTTGTAAATAGTGTATGTACATTGGTTAATGCTGGAGAGAGATCTACAGCGAAGCAGTTAGACTGCATCGATTCAGGATAATAATTGTCAGTATGTATTTTACAACACCTGAATGATTTGCAGATCAGTTGAGGATGAGGGCACTTGACCGACCACAACTTCCAGGATTGGTACGCGTGCTACAATAAAATGTGTACTGGTCTGTCTTATACAATTAGAGCCATGTGGTTTTTAGCATCTATATTTAGCCGGTGGTCTAGAAGATTTTTTTTAATGAAAGCCCTATCCTCAAAGTGTGGTTTAAGTAACTGTATTTAAACAAAAGCCCTGGATGTGTACAGTAGTTAATGTAGACGAAGCATTAAGTATTGAAATATATTGTACTTGGAGTCCTCACTCTGATTCTGTATTTTTTTACATGATTATTTCATCTCCTTATTATTTTATTATTATTGAATGTTAATTATTTAAATTATAATTATCAGTGTGTGCGTGTGTGTATTTTTATTTATTTTTTCACAAGCTAAGCATACTGCCAATTTTGTGATACATTTTTAAGATTCCTCTTTGCTTAAATCATTTTCCAATACTTCTCCTTTCTCAACTGTCACCAATTAGCTATTCAATTACTGATATTCAAAGGATACTTTAAAAAAATTATTTTTGTATTAGCAATAATGAAATTGGAATGGAGGTTTTTATTTCCATGGTTGTTTGAGAGCTCCATATTGTGAATGTGCCCTTTTGTACAAGTTTTTACAATCGGTATCACTGATGCAATACTTGGAAAATAGTCTTTTGTAACTATCTTTAAATCACATACTCATTATATATTATATAAGACTGTATTAACAGATGGGAAATAAAAATAGTGACAAAGACTGTAATTTTTGAAGTTACATCGTATGCATGTTCAGAAAAAACAAAACAAAGTATGGTTAAGGACATAAATGCAGTTCTCGTGTTACATTTATATACATTTTTTGGCTCACTTTTAAACAAGTCATCCTATTTGAAATCAGCCCTTCATCCTGACAATAAAATAGCACTACGTTAATTAATGATCATAATGTTTGTTTTATATAATACATAAATGCCTACAGTAAATGCTTGAATAAGCGCCGCAGCGTTTATAAAAACATATTGGTATATCGTTTTAGATGCCTGTTCCTATGATAACTATTTCACATATTTCAGTAGGCCTACCATAGGTTCTATCATCGTTCTTTTCGTTTATAAAGAAAAGCTTGTGTCTTCATTGTGTTACTTATTCATTTTAACACTGTATATATTGTATTTAAAACTCTGTTTCGTTACACACAGGGTAATATTATATACAGTACTCTTGATTAAGTGCCGAGGCGCTTTAGGGAAAAAAGTTATGTTTGGTGCGGTGCTTATTCGAGCATTTACGGTAAGCTTTCTATGTGTTGCTCATTATTGCCCCGGTCATAGGACCAAAACCACATACTGTAGCTCCCTGTGGGGAGTATTCCAATAAATGTTGAAGTGCACTGGAATTTGTGAATAAAGTGCCTTGCCTAAAACAGCCACCCTCAATTGCTTCTACTAGATGGGATTTATCGAACGCATTCAGCCGGGCACTCACCCGATGGTCGGCGGCCAACATAATTATATGGAGAAGGCCACAACGTACGTGCAGCAGATCGTTTTAATGACGATCTTTTAGACTGCCGCCAACAATCGGCAGACGGTGTCTTGTCGTCTAACGCTCAGAGCGAGTGGAGTTGGATTCGTCGCACGATACAGTGAGTGTCAGGCTTTAGTGAACGACAGATCTTGAGACAGGTGCTTAAAAATAGGATAACAATAATGAAAGGATTTGATTAGAGAAAGGGTAGAGTAAGGATTGAAGAATTGACAACTGTGTGTTAAGGCATTGCAATAATTTTTTTTTTTAATGCAGGGATCACGCAGCAACAAAACACCTTGATATTGAAAGGTGGTCTATATCCTTATGGACTTATCTGTTTTATAAGCATTACATAACCCATTCTTAAACAAATTTAAATCATGGATGGTTTCTTAGGTGGAAAAGAAAAATATTTTATGCTTACAATGCTCTGCATGCATGTTACTACGACCATGGTAGGAAATGGAATTTGACACAATCAAGGCTTCATTGCGGATTAAGGATCTTTGTTAATCATTATTGTAATGATTATTTAGTAACTCAAAAGACTCTTTGTTACATGCCTATGAAGTAATTCTTGTAAAGGTTAATTGTGGAAGTTATTATACTACTACTACTACTGTCCGACCTGCAGTGTAATGTGTAGTGTTGCAGCCGACTTCTTTGGCCCAAACCCCCCCCCCCCCCCCCCCCCCCCCCCAACTTTTTTGCAATATTGCGTGAACATAGGGTTTTAGTCAGCCCAGATGGTTTTTATTAAATATAATTTGGTTCTTGTATATTTGTATTTATCTTAATCACCTTCAGAATATCTTCACAGAGAACTGAACTCGCTTCTTTCTTGGCGATAGTATTTTGTATACATCTGGAAACATTCCACCACAAGTTCACGAAATAAATTTAAGTGCATTAACTTAATTTTTCTCCAAAAGATCAAGAACATAAAAGGCCTAAATTGGGTACCAAAGTATTTGAAATTAAGATATAAATGTTTATTCCTTTTTACCAGACTACACTATGTTAGGCAGGTAGTGTAAACTATTCTTATTTTTTGGTATTATTCAAGATAATTTTTTTTCTTTCTTTATTAAAGACACTTATTAAATTTGTACAGTTCAGTTGTGAATTACAAACTCCATTAAATTCCTTTTTCAGGTAATCTGTTGAGTAACTTTGTTTTTTTTTTCCAGTTGTCATTGATAGCACCTACAACACTAACAGAAACGCTTAAACTCTTAAGCACTCACTGCATTGTACAACAAATGCAACTCCACTCTGTGAGTGACACCGTCTGCTGATTGTCGGCGACAGTCTGAACTGATTGTCATTAAAAAAACGATCCGCTGTGCGTGCATCGTTGCGTTGCGTATTTTATAGAATCGCGCTGACTGGCAAGCGCAGTGTCTGGCTTTAGAGGTGAATCCCCTTTTACTACTAAGCACCGGGCCCCTTCTACTAATAACTCAGCTTACACAAATTACAGGTCCTTCCATTAAATGAAGACGTCCAAAGCTATGAAAATTAATTGCTCATACGTGGGGGCCATCAGTTCTGCCATAAAGAACAATGTTATTTGGCTTTTATATTATCCCATTTCCAAAGTGGCATTTTATCAAAACAATCAATTTCTATCAATGAGCTGAATGAGCTTTAGCTTAAATATTTATCGATAGGGAGATTACCCATCCCCGGCCACTTTTTGAGCAAAAATACTTTGCAGATATGCATGGGACCCAAACATTCGCTGTTGCGCTCTGACAGTAACACATTCTCCAGTTTGGGTCGGGGGAGTGCTGAATAGAAATATTACATCCACTGAACATTATTACAAACTGCAGTTAAGGGGTCATCCATAATTATCAACATCTTCAAAAGAGTACAAAACATACTCTTTTCTGTTACCCCCTCCCACCCCCGAAAGAGTACACAATAAAGTGTTGATTTGTGTCATTTTGAGATCAACATTTATGTTTTTTATAAAAGTATGTCTACACTTTCAACCCCCTAAAGCGTATGTTTTGTACTCTTTTGAAAATGTTGATAATTATGGATGACCCCTAAACACAATGAGAAAAAAATATCTAAAAACCCATGATTGCCGACGAAGAGCCAAAAAGTGCCCTAGACTCGGAAAGCCACAGGACCACTGGTTATGTTAATACTAAAGTATTATTTCCAAAATGTCTTTACATTCACAATAAAAGTGCATTTGTGACAGAAATTTTTTATCAACACATTAATAAACCAATTGTTTTAAATAAATTGAGTACATAAAACAAAAACCCCTTTATGATGATAGTTTTGCACCTTAAAGGTACATGTATACTGTACTGCCACCTACAATATAGGATTAAAATTTGGTATGGAAAAATGTAAGGGTATATAATATACAAAGATAGTACTGTATTTAAAATTGAATTCCGTGGCAGTCAGTGATGCAAGATGAAAACTACAGTAGTGTACTAGAGCATACCAGTGGGGTGGTGGGCCAAGTTCCCCACACTGTCTCGTAGATATGCAACTGGTGGCAGTACATTATAACCTCCGGTACATTAATAATAATCAGTACACTGTGCAGATGATTCTAACCAGCACCATTACTAAGGAAATATTAAGTGAAAACTAGTTTACTGTTTTTAATACAATTCAACTCAGATGCTGAAAATGACAAAAAAAAATATTTTGAAATTATATTTCATCATTCTGCATTAACATACAGTTTATTAACTTGAGCATAGGAATTATTGAATTTAAAAAAAAAATGTTTAACTTAATATTTATACCAAATAAAGGTAATAATAAAACAAGTTTTTCTATCAATTGTTGCTGTCAAACTATGGGCAAACATTTTGAAATTCACATTTTCTGGATATTGTGCACGAGAGAATAAATACAACAAATATGTTCATGGTGCTCGTACAGTACCATATTTACTTTCAATATTACATCCTAATATAAATGCAAAGCAAGTGCTTGTTGAAAATACAACTGAATAAAATATATATATTATAATATTGTAGTGAAAATAAAACACTAATATAACAGAGCAGCTAATATAAAAAATACACTTTTTTTTTTGGTAACTAGTAAATACTGTAACGTTTTACAAAAGTTGTCAAACCACTAAATATAGTATATGTGGAAACGTGGGCAAAACAAGCCTAAACAAATACCAGCAGCTGGGTGAAAGATATTTTAAGGGTGGGTAGTTGGTAACATTAAAGTCAGACATCAAAAATTTGATGTTGTAGAAATGATTTTTCTAAGACAGAAAAATGTTGTTTGATGAAAAACTGGGGATCAGTGAATGAGATACAAGTTTTTGAATATTTAAAAACTGGAGGAATAAGGGGCACACCCACCGCCACGAAAAATGGAACTTTCTGAATTAAAAAAAAAAGTTATCCTTATTTTTATTACACCCACCACTGCCTTGAAATCTCCAAAAATAAGTTTTCTTCCTAATTACATAAATTTAAAGCATTTGACCATCACATTACCACACCGTTTACATTTACCAATAAAATTTAGTTGAATGTTTTTAGCAAAATCAATTGGTAAATAAGAAAACAAAACATTCTTTTTTTTTTTGCCCTCTTCTGACAGTCTTTAAAAGAAAATAAGTTTGCGAAACAAGATATAAAAAAAGTCTCGCCTTACCTGTACATTGGCAAGTTTGAAGAATAAATTTAATAGATAGGATGCCTGATTGACCAAATTTTTTTTTTTTTTTAAATGTTTTGTTTTTTATTCAGGGGGATACAAAGGTTCCATATCTCCCAACAAAACAAAAAAATCTCCCAGAAACTAACAATACATATCTCCTGCTAATTCAGAATATTTGCATATTTTTACCACTGACTATCCTGTCTCCCGGCAGGTTGGCTGCTAATTATCACATGCAGCAAAATACAGGGCCTGTTAAGAAAGCTCATTAAACTAAACCTCCTGTTAGTGGCTTGTCCAAACATTCGGTGGAGGACGAAGGTGGGGGATGCATACTACCATTGGTAAGGGTTACAATGTACAGTATCCCAATATTAATCCATTTGAATAGAAGATTTAATTGTTAATTTCAGGTGGTGGAATCAAATTTTAAATATTGCTGCCAATTAAAAAAAACCAAAAAACACTTGATTTATAATTCAGTCTTTTTTGCTTTGTTAGTTTTTGTTGAATCATCAGGTAATATACGGTTCTCATCTCTCTTTTTATCATCTTTCGACTTTAATTTGTTATCCTCAAAACTTTTCTCTTTCTTCTTTTTCTTTGCATCTTTGTTCTTCTTTTTGTCTTTTTTCTTGTCACTGTCCTTTTTCTTGTCATTTTTCTTGTCTTTGTCTTTTTTCTTGTCTTTTTTCTTCTTGTCTTTCTTTTCACTTTTTTTCTTTGGCTCCACAAACTTGTCTGAACCTCTTCCAAAATATTCTTGTTGGTCTATGGTTACGGAGAGACATCGCTCCTGATCGAGTAGAAAGTTTTTAATGTCGAATGCTGTGCTACCATCAGTTACCATAAAAATGGCCCGGTCATCAGACACCATATACCTGCAAAAACCAAAACAACCTATGAGACAGTATTACCATCAGTTACCATAAAAATGGCCTGGGCATCGGACCACCATATACCTGCAAAAACCAAAACAACCTATGAGACAGTATTACCATCAGTTACCATAAAAATGGCCTGGTCATCAGACACCATATACCTGCAAAAACCAAAACCTATGAGACTGTTACTTTAAACTCTTTTAAGACCAAGCTAAAGACCTTCCTTTTCCATCAGGTTCTTCATTAATTTAACATTATATCCTTATTCTGCTTTTATATACAGCTCATTGAGAGCTAGCTTATAATGCGCTATATAAGAATGAACTATATTATTATTATTAATAAAGCTGAATCCGCCCCCCCCCCCCCCCCCCAAATCCCACTCACAGACAGGTGTACATCTTGGATAAACATACTGTGCCTCTGTGAGGATGTTGGGTTGTTTTAAGTTGCAGGAGAAAACAAGAAAACCAAAAACAGTAACTGAGAAACATAACAATTCTTTTTTATTTTTCTTTAAGGTTTGGAGAGGGCCCTCACTAATCATGAAAATGTGTGTCAATAAAAATAATACTACAGTGTATGTAAGTTTTTAACACAGCATCACTCATCTCTCAGAATGCTGTTACACACAAATGCAATTAAATAAGAAATAAAAAATTAAAATGTGTTTTTTTAGGCAGTTTTAACATTAAAATAGATATTGGGGGCTGGTTCCATAATGGTGCACAATGGTAGAAAAGGATTTATAGCCATGATGTTACGGGTGTAACATCATGGATGATACCTTAAAAATTAGCTCAATTTTGTGCAGAAATCGGTAACATCATGAATGATACACCTTAAAAATTAGCTCAATTTTGCGCAGAAATCACAACAAAAATAGTGCTCAGAATCATAATAACTGCATATATTGGCTTAAATTTTGGTCTAACCTGCGGGGAGATTGGCCCTTATTTTCCAAAATTCACAGACAGATTTCTAGGCCAAATTTTTGAGTGGAGGATATATTCCTAGTGCAGGCCTTACTTTACAATCTGGGGGCTAAATATCCACTGCATTAGATATACACGATGTATGTCCCAGATACCTTTGTAACTGATAATTAGATTGAAACAGCTGATTCTGCCACCGTTCGGTGATCGTCTCCGCTTCTTCTTTGGTTGGATTACCCGAAACACTGACAAACATCATCAGGGTCTTTCCTTTCTTTGTCATCTTCACCATTGATTCTGGATCTGATGGATCAATCTTAGAAAGATCTACCTTAGGAGGCTCTCTCAGGTGTTCTGGGAGGTCATCCTCATCCTTCTCTTCATCTTCCTTTCGATTGAAATGACACAAAAATAACAAACATAAATACGTAAAGAATAGTGAAGTCAAATTGCAAATGATCAACTTACTTTTCATGCAAAAATACATTTTAGTCTGTATGCTAAAGTGCAAATACACAATAATAAGGCTAAGCCCTAGCCTAGACCTTAGGTAGTTTTAATTTTTTTTTTTTTACAATTTATTTAACTAGGATAAAATTAAAATCACATTATTCAATTTAAATTATTTAGAAATATTGAATTAATATAGATAAGCCAAAATGTAAACTAAATGTTAGAAAATCTTCATGATCATATACAGTTAGGTTAGAGTTGTGAATGATCGAATGCATGACCAAATCATGAACTTGAATCTAAAACTATCAATGAATTTAAATCGAGCATTGCTAAATTTTGGTCTGAAGAATACCTTAAGTTTCACCCGAATGTTATGGAAGAGTTTGTACAAATGTTAAGCCCCATTCCCGGCAAGATTTCAGTTAAGAAAAATCTGATTTTTGTAAGTTATAAAGATTTATAAATGTAATACGAAATTGCTAATTTAACTGAACTTAGACATTCCTAAACATGAAAAAAATGTAAAATAAGACTGAAATTTAATTTTTTTTTGCTCCACACAAAAAATAAATGCGAATGGATTTTTCGTTTGATTTTGCGATAGGTCTGTGAAGAAACATAGTAGGCGCCGAAAACATGATATTTTCCGTTGCTAGTATTGACACTTGTGAAATATAATATTTCATAGGAATTATTTCAAATCTGTTAAAAAAATTATTCTGGCCAAGATTTTGACAATTAAACAAACATATCTCAGGTCTACTCAATCGATCACAGTGTGCGAGATGTGAAGTACAAAAACCAATTTCATTAGAGAGACGCACTTTATTGACTGTATAAAGTATGCATAAAAAAAGCGAGAGCATTCCACCGGATACGATCTACAACCTCTGTGTTTGCCAAGTAACGAGGAATTCATTGAGAAAATGGTAATCTCCTATCTATATGAGAAATAGTCTGTACTTCTCATTTTTGTTATTCTTTTGCGTAAAACTAAAATTTATGCCAATATTTTTCCATTGTTTATAATAAACAATATGCAAATAAATAATTATGCATATGCATTTTTTCTTTAAAAAATCTTTTTTAGTGAAATTTTGCCAGGAATAGGGCTTTATACCCTGATTTGAGGGAAAAATGAGCTAGCCTAGTAGGCCCTAGCCTAGGCTTGGGCACACAAGTGCTAAATAATGAAGAAACTTAAAACTCTACGTGTCGCAATGTGAGAGGCTAGGCTTAGCCCACAACTATTGGCCTAGGCCTAATCGGTACTTGGGAGAGTACGGCGGTGGTGGTGTCAAACTGGAGGACAGACAGACTAGGCCTACAAAGAGGGGGTTATTATTACTATAGATAGGCCAGCAGCAGGTAGGTACCTAGGCCTAGTCCTAGCCAACCAAAGCCCTAGGGCAGGCCTACCTCCCATTCGTCAAAAAGTCTCTCCATGTCTGCATCGTTAAAATCACGAATATCCTTTTTCTTCTTTGTAGGCTTGCTTTCCTCTTTCTTATCAGGTGTTTTTTCTGCAGAAATTATGTCTACTAGACATACTACTAGGAAAATAGTAAGATAAACTTTAATGCGATTCATCGCTAGAAAAATGAAATCCCGATTCTAGCGTGAGCCCCTGTTATGTGACCCGGGGTGTTGTTGTTTTAGCCAACCGCGTATCGCCACAAAACTAATTGCAAGTGATTGGTTGATTTGGTAAGAATGAACCAATGGCCTTGAAGACAATAATACTATGTAGGCGCCCTCTATAGGCTGATAATACATTATGGAAAACAACAGATCAGCGGACGCACATGTGAAAGAAGGAATAGATAGATCGGTTTCTATTATTGCAAAGAGGTGGACGATGATGGGCGTTCGTTAAATACTGGACTTTGACTCCTTCCTCAAAGACACAGTCAGCTAGCGCAACTGATAAATATGTTGAGATTTAATAGCTCTATCAAATACCAGTGGTAAGTAGTTTTTATCTTTGCTCGTTTGGCCTGGCAAAGTGACCACACCCAACTGGGGGTTCATTCATCAACAAGGCAGACTGGTTTTTTTAGTTCCATTGTTAGCGCGCTCAGACCTCAGCAGCTAGCTGTGTTCTCCAGGAAGATTTAACACACACACACACCGACCGGATAGGCCTAAATTCGTGAAACCTCTTCCGACTTTTACCGGTTTTTAATGAAAATCATATAATGAAGTGTTTATTCAGTTATGGACTTATAATTATTTATGAGGTATGAAGTCATACATTCTCGCAATTTTTAATGTACGAATTTTAGTTAGGCCGTAAATAAGTAAATTTTAATTTTAGGCCTGGCCTAGTTTAATTCTAAAATTTGCAGGTTGTTGATATAATATGTTTAAGAGCATTAATTATGTTCCTAGAAGATGTTAATGACAGATATAATATTAAAGAATTTGAAAATGTATACCTGGCGTTTATGTAGTAAAAGGGGCCTACCTGTAGGCCTGTAGGCCTATCTTTGTTTTTTTTTTGATAAATATTTTTTTTTTTTCCCAGCCTTTTAAATCTAGGCCCCCTATAATACTGGTATATTGACACCTACTTTTCTGCACCGAAATTGGTCCATATTTTCAACATCGCGGCAGATTTCTAGGACCTAGGCCAATTTTTGCATGGGTGATATTTCCGTTAAAATAGGCCTACCAATATCAAATTGTGAGTAATTAATACCGTTTTGAGGTGCTGAATATTTAATGACAGATATTTACTTTTTCTCTAGGTCTATTCATTTATTTTATTTTAGTAAATTTAAATAGTTAAAAAAAAAAAAACATTCTGTGATCATTAATACCATTAAAGTGTTTTTTTCAATTCCAAATTATTTTAATCTACCATCTTATTCCGAATATATTGTAGCCTACTTTCATGCAATACATTTAGAATGATGTGTTCAAAAAAAAAAGATCAAACAATATATCAGACCTTACAGTGCTTTCAACCATGTGCTCAGATCATGGTTGGCGTGAGGAGGGTACTGATATGTCCACACAAATTTTTAAAGGGGTTGGTACCCCTTTTTCAACTGCAGTGTAATTTCATATTAAGTCAAGAAGAAGCCTGAAAAGTGATGAGGTTGACTGTATAAATGTCCCTGATTTTAAGGAAAAGGCAATCTGCAACAGTTCTATGCCATTAATTAAATTTATTACTTAACACTCTTGTACGATTTTGTAAATATGATGTTATGATGCCATGTAACAAGCGTTAATAAAAGTTGCCAATTAAAAATCATGAAGGATTTGTTGGAGCTTCATTTCGACTACAGTATAGCGTGGTGATGAGGATGAATTTTACTATAGGAGTGTCATTTTTAGCCATCTAGAGGACGTACCATTTCCTCAAATTTTCGCACCATTCCCCACCATGGTTGGGCCTTTCAAACTGGATGTGCCCTGGTGAAGAGTGGCCCACCCATGAAATGTCATTTTTTTCAAGTATGCAATCAGATCTTTCGAGGTATCAGGAACACTCGACAAATCTTTGTACGCCAGCATGGGTGATAAAGTTTGCGCACAAAGGAAATAATTGACACAGAAGTACTCAATTATTGGTACCTAAAAGCCACTAAATTTGCTGTTTTTTATAGTTGTTTTCTAAAAATTTTACAAAATTCAGGAGATTGAATGGAAAATCGGGAAAATCCTGATTAAATTGTGAGGGTTGGAATGTATGTAATGAGGTAGTCTTGCTTGATGGATGGAGACAAATTATTACTGCACAGAGCATGAACATAAAATTTTACCACATTTTGATTGTTTAATGAACTTTATACGCAGATTGTTTTGTTTGAAAGTCGATCACTACATAGTGTAAGTGCCATCTTCAAGCACATGTTAATATACAGTAGGCCTATATTAGTGTTAAAAAGTATTGTTCTTTGTGACCGATCCACAATATTTTTTTATATTTTCAGTGTTGCAGAAATTCTATTGTAAGCATGTAGGAGACAATCAAATTTGCGCTATATAAATTGAATTATCTGACCAACATCAAAACAAATCAAATTTTCAAACTCGTATTGACTCATGCCAGAAGATTTTTTATGCAACGAGGCATTTTTTGTCGCTGGGCGTGTAATTCACATGAGCAGATTGATAATGTATTGTACAGGCCACATCGAGAACAGGACTTGTAGCAGACGCAATCAGTCCGATACGGATGTTCCAGAAGAGGAATGGCCTCCAATGAGTTGTATAGTCCAGCATTATTGAGTGTAGATTGTGAACTATGTGCCAGTCGTATGCAAGCTGTCACAGATCTGTTGTTATTAACTAGCGACTTAAGACCAGTGAACACCGAAAGTTTGTCGGTTTTTGGTGAATCTTATTCAAAGTGTCGTGAAATTATAATCGCAAGGAGCATGGGTCTGACGGTGTTTACCCGTGATATAATGAACCAACTGCGAGGAAACAGGTTAAAGGACGTTTCGGATACTTTGAAAGATTTGACCGATGTCGTCATCAGAATTGTTGAATGCTCAAGTCATGCAGCCTATCTTGCGGCAATCAGTGAACTTGGCTCAGTGCCAGCTTTGCCAGGAATCATAGACAAATACAAGGTGACACGTGCTAAGGTAGACATTGAATTAGCTAGTAGTCGTTTTCATCTTACTCCGCTTTCGGAACTATCTCCACAAGTGCTCGTAAATATTTCTGAGGAATTGATAAAGAATCTAGAGACACTGACCCACGCATGTAGACTTGCCAGTGACGCGAGTGATGACCCGTTCCACAAAGAACAATTTCGATTGTCTCTAAAAAATGTTACTGCATGTACAAGTTCTTTGTTGTCGTGCATACGGCGATATAAAAGTACTCTGGATGAGCAGAGTAGAGCAAGGTGCATATCTTTTTCAAAACCATTGGTGCAATCTTGTATGTCATTAGTTGATTATGCCACCGAATCTGAACACATCGGTTTACCTGCGGATTTGCCCGAGAGCAGCAGGCGCATACAGACGGCCATCTTAGGTGGCTGTATGAGCATTGCAAGTTCTTGTGTTAGGCTTTGCGAGAGTGTCCAAATGGCTCTGTATGATATTAACAATCCAGAATCCATGAAGCGGTTATCCGTATGCTGCGCTGCAATTTTAGATGGATCTCAACTCCTATCGCAAGCTTTACGGGACAAGGCATCTGTCAGAACGCTGTCTTCAACGCCAAGTTCTAGTCCACGATCTCAATCCACAGAGACCTTATGACATAAGATGTCCGCGGTAAGTATGGCATCGCAGTCAATGACAACGACCGATGAATTAGCCAATACAATTTGATGAACCGTACTGTATTCTAATTCAAAAATGAATTCATTAAAATGCCATTTTACTGAGAAATTAAGAGATTGACTTTGATGTTGAATATTTGAATAAAACTGCTTGAGATTTATTCTCAACTAAAGGAGACATACATAATGGAAACTTAAAGTATTATGGGATGTAGATTTGACTTCCACGTTGTCTGTGTTAAGTTATTGTACTGTACACATTTCTATATCAAGTCTGTACTTATAGTGCTTTTTCCCCATCTATGTAGGTTTTTAAAATATGAAACTGATGCAAATTTAGTAATTACAATTGTAACACTATCACTGTAAAATAAAATATGTTATAATTTATAATATTGATATCAAAGATCTATATTTTCACTGCATTGGATATTTAAACTGGTATTTGAACAAAGATATTATTACATGTTGTATTAAACTCAAAAAACATTCAACTACAGTAGTTCAAAAAGACTAAGTGCACCAGATTTCTAATTTAGCACCTCGCAAAATTTTGTCATGTTCTGTGTATTAATGGCAGTTGCTACAGTATATTATATTATGGTGTTTATTAAAGATATATACTGTATATACACCATCTGTTGTAAAACTAGTAAAAAATTCACTGACATTCAGTTAATGAGAGACAGATCAAACAAACTACAGTAAATCGATTTTACTAATTTGCACTATACTATACTATAAAAATCCTTGATATACTGTACATTACCAGCAAGTAGAATGGAATACAAAATATATTTATAATTGTTGATGAGAAAAATCTGTTGTTTTTATTTACAATTGAAAGTACAGTAGGTAATTAAAATATTTATTTTATTAGTTGAACACAGGAGAAACCTAGTAATTAACCTTTAAACTGGATTTATCTGTAAAGTAAATTGTACACAGAAAATTTTGGTTTTTTTTTTAGCTTTTCCATATTTGATGACGTTATGCTAATTTTCATTATTTTTATCAGAATTAATTTATTTACAATTCATACAACAAAAACAGAAATTATTGTTAGAGAGCTCATTAATTATTAAAAAATTAAAATCACTGTACATCTTCAGGCTTCCTAATCAATCTAATCAAAGAATTTAAAGTTTTCAAGATCTTGTATATTTTTAACTATTTATATGTATGGGTGAGGGGTAAAGTAGATGTTTATTGGCTAATTTTGCATATAAAAATTAATTATAATATTTCTTTCAAATGAATTGATTGTTTAGAGGAGGGTCAACCCCTGTAGACCCCACCAATAATTTGCCAAAATAAGTTTTAATGTATTGATTGTGACAAAACAGGCCGATTGGATCACCAGTGGGCTGTTTATTTTGGTCCAAAAGTATTATAGGGGATGACAAAATAAAAAAATTGCCAAATTAGTCTCCCAGAATATAAATGCTACGATTTCAAGGGCCCTCGGCAACCCCTTGGACCCAGCTCCCTTGCAAAGAGCTTAGTGGACTCACCCAATGTCCAAGCAGAGCTGCCCTCTATTGTCCCGTCCACAGCTGTCAAAATATACATTATCTGAGGTCTGTGTCTTGTCAGCAAATGGTTATTTTCAACTTCTAAATGTCATTGGAAACTAATTTCTAACCTGAATGTCCCGTCCATCTATCCTACTGACTAATATTACAGTGGAAGGCCTCTTAAAGTTTTTTTTATTAATTTTTTTTTTTTTTTAGTATTATTTTTATTTAACTGATTGATTAATTGGACAATCCAAGAATAAATTAATTTCTCTGAACACTTCAACATTTGGCGATTGTAATTGCTGCCTTCATAAAAACATCATTTTTTTTGTAGATTTATTACACTATACTTTATAGTGCTTTCACTCCACCTACTGTACAGTACTGTATTTTCAAACATTTTTTAAAGTTGATTGTTTTCCTGGTTTTACCTTGCCCTCAATTATTCACACTTTTATATCTCCTCAATTACCACAATAGATTTTTTAGCAATGCGAGTCAGTTCATTCCTTTTAATTGTTTGAATGGATCCTTGTTAATCACTGCAAAGATAAATCCTATGGGATTATTAAGAGATTAGGATGATCTTATCACAGTAACAAATCTAGTTATTAAAATCATAAACTGTGAAGACAATTTGAAAATATAGTTTTAAAAAAAGGCAGGCGCTCAGCGAGCCCGGAGGTCGTCGCCGACATGATTCTATAGAGAACGCAGTACCACAGCACTTTTAATGACGATCCATTCAGACTGCCACCGGCAATAAGCAGGCGATGTCTTCTGACGCTCGGAGGAAATGGAGTTGGGTTCGTCAGCAACGCAATGAGTGCTGGGTGGCTTCAGCAATTTTAATTTGGGTAGCACTTGTTATATTGGATTCATTAAGTAGTGAACGCAAAACAGCCAAATTCAAACAATCATATTTCGCCACTACTTCCTTTTGCACCCAACTTATAGTAACTTATTATATGCAAAATTAGTTAAATATTGCAATAAATGTTTCTCTTTCTTTCTTCTTGCCCTACTCTTTTCTTAATTTTAAAATACTCACAGATAATTGTACAGTAATTCAAAGTTCCTCATTTTAAACAATGAAAAATTGTAAAAACTTTATTTTTATTCGAAATCATCCTTATGTCTAGTTATAAGTAAATGTTTTTTTTTTAATAATTTGTTAGTGTTGTAGTAGTAAAGAGTTAAGTTTATCTATACTTCAGGTGTAGATGAAATACAGTAAGAAACTGAATGAATTGCAACTCCAGTTAAACTGTAGAATTATGCCAGTGAAACAGACACAAAGAACTAATTTGCCCACTTCAATTCTCTATAAATTTCAATTGGAAAATTTTTTTCTCTTTCTACATCAATTTGATTTTTCTTTTTGCCTTTTTTCCAATTTGTAATTGGTCTTTTGTAGTGTAAAAATGAAAGCTTGACATTTTGTTCAAATTGGCTGCATGTTCAACAACTACGGTATGTAAACCTGCACTGCACATCTAAGTGATGCATTAGTAGGTCAGAGGTCATGTTCATTTGAATTAGTTATGTTCTTTTGATATTTTGTTACTGTATATTCTTTGGATACAATGTGTTGAATAGTACACAGTATACAGTGTTTTGTTTGGGTTTTTTTTGTTTTTTGTTGTTTTTTTATTTTGCAACATGAGTTTTGGGAATGTGTGAATTGCTCTAGGGTCTAGTTTGTGATTAAATGTGTTTTGTTTTTAAAAATCTAAAATTACATGTATGCAAGCAAATGGTGTTTCCTTGATTAGAAACAAGGAGTAATTACATTGTTGGAGCAAAAATTATGTTAACTGTATTTCTCTTGGTTCAATTTTAATAATTTATTTGTTTTGCTGTTTTAAGCAGAAGTATAGGAATATTTCACATTTCCTTGGATTTCAGAGAAGTGTTTGTGATACTTGTAAATGCTATTTATACACTGTATGGTCGAATGGTGCTTATTAACTCCCAACCCCGTAGGCAGTGGTAAATTGTGTACCACAGTAATATTACTGCGGGTCTACAGTGACTCCCACCATATAATTTATCTTTTGAAATGTTTTTTTCATGGTAAACCATGTGTTGGTAAGCTACTGTTAAAGTGAACTGTAGCATAATATAATGGTGCTCACATTGTAATTCCTGGTTCAAATCTTGTGAGTGCCATAATTTTTTCTGGTAAATAATATAATTTCATAGCTACATAATTATTAAGTCCTTGTGTGGAAATAGTACTGTACAGAATCAGTGGCGTATATAGGGGGGTCCACAGTTATTTTCTCCCCCCCCCCCTCCCCTCCCCCCCCCCCCAAAAAAAAAGAAGAAAAAAATCTTGCTCAAGTATAAATCATATTGATACTCCACTGTACTGTGCAGTAGCCACTAATCAGGGCTCCTACAGTAGTCTGAAACATAATTAAATGCAAGATGAGTTGCTTGCAGATTGTAGGATACAGATGAGGAGTTTATTTAATGTATGGTGATAGAATGTTGATACAAAGTTCATAGAGATTTATTAACATTTGCAACATGAGGTATATCAGTCTAATGCTTTTCAGTGTGTGTTACATAATACCTGTAAATGATGGTCTGTCTGAAAAATTACAGATCTCGTTTTCAAGTAGCCTCTACTGTTTCCACAATAGGTAATCTGTAGATGACCAGAATTGAATGTGTTGGATCAATGTGAAAAAATAATTAATATTTTTGTTCACATTTTGTACACTGTTTTTTTAAAGGCCTACAAGGAGCATAACATCTACAATTATTGGCGAAACACTCCTCCCCCAACGATTACTGTATCTCAGTGCGTAACACATAATTTGAAAAGGTTTATGGACACGAGGATGTGGATGGTTGATGATGATGATGATGACGATCATGATGACAATGATTATGATATGGTCAATAGTGATGACGACTGTTAATAATGTTGTCGATGATGGTGATGATGATGATGACAATGATTGATGTTGATTTCAGTGAGGATGATGGTTAAAGTAATGATACTGATGTTTTCATGAGCTAGATGCGAAATCTTACATACCTTTATGGGATGTTGAAATTTACCTCATATTTTGGGAAATCCTATATTGCCTTATAGGCCATGGTAATACCTGTCTCTTATACACATCTAGATGTGTATAAGAGACAGCCACTGTACTGTGCAGTAGCCACTAATCAGGCCTCCTACTGTAGTCTGAAACATAATTAAATGCAAGATGAGTTGCTTGCAGATTGTAGGATACAGATGAGGAGTTTATTTAATGTATGGTGATAGAATGTTGATACAAAGTTCATAGAGATTTATTAACATTTGCAACATGAGGTATATCAGTCTAATGCTTTTCAGTGTGTGTTACATAATACCTGTAAATGATGGTCTGTCTGAAAAATTATGAGATCTCGTTTTCAAGTAGCCTCTACTGTTTCCACAATAGGTAATCTGTAGATGACCAGAATTGGATGTGTTGGATCAATGTGAAAAAAATAATTAATATTTTTGTTCACATTTTGTACACTGTTTTTTTTAAAGGCCTACAAGAAGCATAACAACTACTGTACAACTATTGGCGAAACACTCCTCCCCCCAACGATTACTGTCTCTCAGTGCGTAACACACAAGATTTAACTTTTGTACACAAAGCAATTTGATCAAGAATTGAATTTAAAGTCTTAATACTTTCTCCATAATGTGCTTATAGATTTAGAATACAATTACAATATGTACTATGTGTATAGGATAACAGAAACCTATTAGTTTTATATGTTGCCAGGATGTCAAAACTTTGAAATATGTATCACATTTTTTATCGCAGTAACCCATCAGTTATAATTTATGTATCAATTTTCACATGTCCGATGTATTAAAGTCACTTTTTGTTTCTATAAAATACTTTCCAAGTTGGACATGTTATTTTGTCCAAAAGTTGTTAGAAGCATTGGTGTTTCTATAAACTAATAAGATGTATTTTAAAATGGTAAACTTAGGATTTTACGTGGTCTCACTTCCACTGTTGTCGTCGTTACAATAGACTATATTGTATGATATATTGTGTATACAGAAATAATCATATTTGATATTAATTAACGAACAAATAAACATTTTTATGGAAGAAAATTGTCGACTTAACGAGTTATTTATGATTCAGAAGATGTTTTTTTTGTTATTGCAAATAGCATTATAATTCTAAACTCATAAAATATCAAGAATTATGAAGTTGTTGTTTGTTTGGTTTGTGAATGAACGTCAAACTATCAACGATTATTCATTCAGCGTCATGACTATACGGACACACCCACAGTAATGAAAGAAATGTAAACAATTGACTTAGATATGCAAATGAGCTGATTATGTATCCATCAACTGTATACGGTACTCTTCCGGTACATTTATACTGGTCTAATAAAGTCTATACATCAGCATAACTAAATATATTATACATTATTTTTTATATAAATGAGATTGTGTTATTGCAGAACATCTGTAATTGATCATTCAAAAATGAGGGAGATTTAAATGTACTGTGGTTACTACTGTAATTGCTGACAGAAAATCGATTTAGTGTATGAATTTTCAGTTTTACAGTGGCTTACTGTACCTGTTCACCACACAGATAAGAAGTTCCAAGTGTTGAACATGAGAAGTTTTTGATTACATTGCATAATTATACTCATCCACCTACTGTACATTCCTGGTTGTTCATTGATTTATTTAAAAGGCCAGATTATTTTTAGATT